GCTCCACGGGGAAAACCCGAAAAATGGGAAAAACAGCGGAAAGCGGGGCAAACTGCAATGCGGGAATGGATGTTCTTTTTTGGGGGGGAAAGAAGGGGGATGTATGCTGGTCAAACAGTGTTGTAATTTGGCATCGTAAATGCTGTTGGCCGGCTTTCGGTTTGCTGCCTCTTTTTCAGCATTTTCCCTCTATCGTGTTTCCAATACATCAACACTTTGCATTTTCCGATAGATCGCGGATAATTGTTATTGTTCTTATTTATGCTTGGTCCTTTTTGCTGCCACTGATTTTTGGCTGCCACTGTTAGTTTTATGGTTTTTCGTATTGTTTTGTATGTTTAAATGTTTAAGTAATGTTATTATTATTTGTGAATTTTTAATTTATTTTCTTTCCTGTCTACTTAATACAACCTTAGATGAGATAGTATATATCTTTTTAATTTCTGAACACTATTACATATGTATAACCGATAGTAACTAAAAGCCAATTAGTTTCGTTATAAATCTATATTTTTTATATTTTTTTTTATTTTGTTTAAAATCTGTGATCCCCTTTTGTCTACGTTCCTGTGCTCTTTTTGTTTTCTCGCTCCCCATGTGTGTAAATGCCCGTTTAATGCGAAAAATCCAAACGCTTCGCCTGATTTACATTGTCAATAGAAAGGCATTAGGATAATGCTCGAAAGTCACACCAGGACAAACAAAAGCCCTTTTGGATAAGGGGTTGCACCGCCCATGGCCAATTGTGGGTCAATCAGTTTTTTGACGCCGGAAAAATTTGATTTATCTAATGCGGTCGTTTCGGCGGTTCGATGGGAAATTCTTTATTAAATTAGACGAGTGTTTTCTGCGTAGCGATATGATAACTATGACCCCTATAATAGAGAACATTTAACTTTTGGTCATTATTAGGAAAGAAAAAATATTCGATCCTTATATGCAGTTTTGTTTTTCCTCATCGAATTGCCATTTCTTTTTTTCTTAAACATTGGAGAGTTTTGTCAGCCAAAGGCGCTTACTGGCTTATAAAATTGCAATCCAGAAAGCAAGCTTGTTAACGGAAAATGTGCAGTGGCAAGCGAAAGGAGATTTTCAGTTCGTTGCAGAGATTGTGTGGCAGGAGCAGTTTGACAGGACATCGAATATGTCCCGGTCGACGGGCGAAATGGAAACTCTATTTCCAGCCATAGACACAGGAATAACAGTATAATATCATGTCACAATGTTGATGAATATAGCCAACCTCTCCTTAGTCTACCAAAAATATCTGCTGGAAAAAACCGCAAATACAGAACGCAGAAACTGGAAAGAGAGATGCAGAGAAAAACTAATCGAATTTTCGTAGGTGCACACATAAGTCGACAATGTTAAAATTGTTACTGGAAAGCGGGGTCAGGAATATTGGCTTAGACGGATAACCAAATGGACAGAAAAGTGCAAATTAAAGAAACAAGATGATTTTGACTACGATACAAAATATAGTAAAAATCAGACACCTGCGATAGCAATGTAATTTATTAAAGTTGATATGAATTACCAAAAATTATAAGAACTAAACCATTTTGGTTTATGCGCTTAAAAAATAAATGAAATAGTTTCTTCATTTACGTTAGAAATATTTTTTTTTCAAATATATAACACAATTTTTTAAAAAATACCTTCATTGCCTATTGATCATAGTTTTCTTATCGAAAACTATATAAAACTTTCGCTTTTGATGGTTACGCGTATTTTTTTTTAGAGTCGCTCTGATAATCGCACTCGAGTTTAATTGACTTGCTGTTATGAAACTCACTGTGCTCCTTAGTTTACGTTATGGAGCCGAACAGCCAAAATCATCATTCGCTCTATATTGTTTACGTTACATATATCTCTTTCACAGTCAATTCCCTTGGACCATCTTTGTAAATTATTTCGCTTCACTCTCGGCAGCTCATTTTATTGTTACTATTTTTTTCGCGCCTTAACCTTCCCCATTCACAACAAAAATAAGCGAGTAAATGAGCTTTAAAAGTGATTTCATGTTCCTTTCCCAGTCGTTTTCATATTTTTGGGTTTTGACGTAGTTTATTTTGTTGTCTTTCTGGCTTGGAAAGCGATTTCGTAGCACTGTTAAATTGATGTCACAAGTTAATGAATAGGAGCGGGAGTAAGCTAAAGATATTGGGGATTGGGAAGCGAATGGGTCCTACGGTGCAACAACAAGTTGAAGTCAATTATAAAACTGTCGACTGGCGCTTTGTCTTCATCTTTAGGTTTTGGTGTCTGTGCCGTGTAACCCGAGATGATGGCAGAAAATATCTATGGGAAACACAAATGAACAAAAAGAAGTGCAAAACATAAGCCCAAAAAAATAGGATAGTATGAATGCAGAGACAAAAATGTTGTAATTCTAAACACCAAAAAACAAAGTGATATTTTAAAAGCAATAAATATTAGATATATTTTCCAAAACTCGAATAAATTTCAAACAAATAAAATAAATGTAGAATTATTGAAGATTAATTGCAAAAAACTCTTTTGAAATATTTATCCAAACTTATTATGTACGTTCCAAGAAGAAGATTCATAAAATAACAAAATTATTTCTTAGAGACCTTTGGTTGTTTTGCTCAGCAAAATCTTTAAGATATTTCGCCCAAAAGCGCTTGGGATATGAAGTCGATTCAAAAATAAATGTATAAGATTATTCTTTGTGTAAGAAATTGAGAAAGGGAAAGAGGCAAGGCAACAAGTGCGGAAAGACAAGGCGAAAGTAAGCAGCTGGACAAACAATTTGCATTTTTTGTCAGATTTCTTAGTCGTGTTCTTTTCATTTCTCCGTTTCTTAGTCAGGCCAGCAGTTTGACAGACACTGGAAAGTGGGCGTAAGGGGAGAGGGGCGGTGCACCTGCAGTGTCAGAAACAGATGGCTAAAAACGAAATAAAAAAAAGGTGTGTAAAAGAATCGCCAGACAGACAGAAAAGCGAAGCAGACTTAAGGCGATACAAAGCTCACAAACAATTTAGCTAATTTAGCACTTTCCACGCTCAGTTGCAGTTGATCCACCCAACGCCGCCCCCTTCTACCCCCTCTCAGGACCCAGACAAGGTCAGATTGCATTGAGTGTAAACCTAAATATCGCAAAAGTATTTATACACAAGATCAGGGTGGTTTCCCTTTTCTCTCGCTTGATAAACTGGAAAATTCTCATGTGACTTCAAGCTATTTCCGAGGCATATCTTTACACAGGGAGAAAAAGTTAACATTTGTTGCTTAACAGAAAGAAATATAAGCTGCAACACTTTTCAGATGGGTTAAACTTACATGTGGTTTACAACTCCCTATCTGTAGAGTTCAATTTGCACAACAATTTCAGGCTTCATGGAACGCCCCCGCAAAACCGAAGGCCTCCAAATATAAACAGCAATACAAACAGAGCCTGAGGGACTCATTGTGGTGACTCCGTCACTCCGAAACCCCCCAAAACCTCCGCTATAAACTATTCAGACGCCCTATGTTGAAAACCCGAGAGCAAATGTGAGGTTATGCGTGTAAGCCCCCCGCGAAATTCAAATCGGAAATTTGTTGATTTTGTATTTAATATTTGGTTTGGCGGCGGCACATAATACAATGCACAATATAGCGTTTGGTTCGCCAACCTCGGGGGCAAAGATTTATTGTGCAATCAAATCGGCGCTTAAATGAACAAAATGCAAGAATGCACAGTGTACAGTGCGTTTCATGAGGCTATAAGTTTAACAATGTTTTAATTAATATAATTTAAATGTTTTACAAGAAATATATCGTTGAATTAACGACAAAATGTATTACATTTATTAAGATTGTAACCTTAATGTACATGTTAGCTACTTCCGAAACGTAGAATACGTCGATTATATATATCGCATTCTTACGTGTCGTGGAAACATAAACTTCTTGAATCTCTTAAGATGCAATGGAAAAGATGATTGGAAAAATGCATTATATAAGACAGAAAAGATAGCAGTTTACAGGGCAAATAATTCAAATAAACAACGTAATAAATGAGAACAAAGCTCAAACTTTCTAGGAGGGGTATTTAATACTTTTTAAAAACATTAAGATAAACGGTTTGTAAATAAATATTTTCCTCTACCAAATTCCTTGTCAACATACGGCATATTTTCCCGGAGTGTGATATGACACAGACTTCTCGTTTTTTGTTTTCTGTAATTAAAACCACTAAAAAATCACGCAACATAAGTTCTAGACTGCCGTGGAAAAAGATCATTTCACAGTTATTCTTAATGATTCTGGTTCCATTTTCATAATTTTCACACAGAAAAAATACGGCAAAAAAAACCATAAGAATTCCAGAAGATCGTGGAAAAGCGTGAAATATTTTCACACTCCAGAAAGAGGGGCCAGATAAGCGAGTTTTATTTATGCCCTGACTTTTTATTATTTGCAGTGAGCACTCTGGAGTGTGAAATCTTGGATTAAATAAATTTACTTTAGTTAGTTTCGTTAAATTTTTGGAAACATTCATTAAAATAAAAAAAAACCCAACTATTTTAAATAATGTGGAAAAAATAATTTAATGCATGTTACTTGTGACGTCAGCTTTATTATTTATGGGGGCTTTACAATTTAAATACTTATGGAATTTCAATGACCAATCCTGGTTATTTGGCAATTTTATAAATATTGTTATACAAATTAATAAATAGCGATTAAATTGAATAATATTTTTTGATATTTTAGGTTCTCTATATCGAGCGGGTTCTGTATATTAATATTATTATGTTTGCCTGCCCTAAATATTATATTATACTTTGATAAGCGAAAAATGAGAGCAGCCAAACAAAAATTGCCGATCGTTGGAATTCAAATTCGAACGCGAGGGTTTTTTCGGTTGCATTTTGTGCGGCTCCTTCGTATTTTGAAATTCCCACGGCTGTTTGTTTTGTACTTGTTTTACGTCAAAAAAGGAGGGAATGCAAAAGAACAAGAAGCAGTTGAGGAAAGAAGAACTTACCCGCGTAACAAAAAAAGCAGCTGTCGCAGTAGCAGAGCAAGAGCAGCGCTGCAAGCAGTGTCGCCGACTGCGGCATCTTAATGGCTGTTGTTGTTTTTGGACGACGTCGACGCAGCGACGACGCCGCAGATTTGAGCATTTGTTGTTGGCTATTGATATCTCTTCTCAGATTTTCTTTAATGTTTTCGATTTTCGGTTTTCGGCTTTTCTACTTTTTAGTCTAGATTCTAGTTTTAATTATTCATTTCTCACATCTTTTTTGGCTAAAAACATAAAACATGATATTTTAAACGTCACTTTTTCAGTTTTTGCTTTGTGTCAGCCATTCGCGCACACAAACACTCAACACACAAGCACACCTGCCACAGGTAGAAGCAAAATTGAAGAGAGAGGGAGAGAAAAAAAGAGAGAGAGGGAGCAAAAAGGGGCCGATCAAAAAAGAGAGAATGAGAATTCAAAAGCAAAAAACCAAAAAAAAACTTCTCTCTCTTTCGCTCTCACTGTTTTCGAACCCTTTTTCTTTTGGGTTTTTAAGACTGGTTTTTTGAACCCGTTTTTCTCATGCTATTCTCACACAAACACATGCACACACACACACACCGCGGCAAACATTGGTGGCCAAGAAATATTAAATAAAATTTGTTAAATAAACAAATGTTTATTTCATTTATGCCTAGATTTTTGGCGGCATATTTTCACAGGCACACAAAATAACAAAACACAAAAACAGAACAAAAACCAACAAAAAACGCGATCGGTGCGAAAGAGACGGCGCGCTTACTGCTTTTTCTTCTTCGTCTTCTTTTGTTGGGTTAAACCGATGTATTTGTTTTTGCCAAATAGTTACAATAAAACGTCTGGCTAAATCTTTAAGTAATAACAATCAAGAGAACGCGAACTAAAACTAGAGAATCGCGTTAGTCAGGCAATCGCAAATCGCAAATTGCAATATTCAGCAACTATGCGACTTTGCACAACACAACCGTTCACGACGCGCGCACAAAACAAACTGCGCTGCTTTCTGCCTTTCTCGCAGTCGCTGCTTGCTTGCGCTGCTTGCTCTGCTTCTTCCTCTGCCGACGAGCCGTACAGTGGGCCACATCCGCGTCAAATTAAAACACGAAGCGAGTGGCGCAATCGCAGTAGGTCATACCATAAACTGCAATAGGATGAAATAAATTTATTAGTGGAATATTACAAATATTTTAATCTTCATCTACTAATGTGGTCAGCCGCTTATAAAATAAAATAAGATATACGAATTTTTATAATTAATAGCTTAGGAGTAAATATATTAACCAATATTATATTTGGTTTTCAGAGTTTTATTTTCAAAGTTTTATTATATACGTAACTAATGTATTAGCAAAGTAATTAAATATCTAAATTTTTAGCAAACAATAATTGACGTTTAATTCATTTTGACCTAGTGGTACAAATAACTGTTTAGAATAAAATCATTTTTCGACTTTTTGACGAAAAGAATATAAATAAATTTGTTTTAAGAATTTCAGAAAGCAACAACAACAAATTTTTAAATTTTTACAATTATTTCTGAGCAATATATTATATATATGAAATTAATATTTTTCACAATTCACTTTTATCTATGCAATCTATTTATTCTAAATTTAAGTCCTTACAAAAAGTATTAAATAAGTCTTTCATTAATTTCAACAAATTATATCCACACCACTGTGCAAAATCCACTCAAAGCCAGCAAACAGTCACTCGAAATCAGCAACTTTACTCAAACTTGAGCGGGCGAATGGTTGAGTGGCGCCGTCTGGCTTCTCATTAACGAAACTTATTAATTATTTTTTTTAGTTAGATAAAAAACAAATAAATTAAAAATAAATTTAAATTAAATTAAATTTGTATAAATTTAAATGTGTCCACAAATCAATAAATTAATAACTTGCTGACTTGACTTGGGCCCCCAAGCATTCAGCTGTTTAAAAATAAATTATAAAAAAATATTTAAGAAAATTAAAATCCGTTTTAAATGCGTGCTAAAATCATAAGAAAGCTGTTCTAATTCAGCGGTCTTTTGCGTTAGTTATTAATAAAATATAAAGATTTAAATTTATAAGGGCATTTAAATAATTAGTTATTAGTGCGCTAGTTTCAACACCTGCTAACTTTGACCCTTTAATATTGCAAAATTCCAAGAGTATTTTTAATGGAAAATGCATGTACGAATATGCAAATAAATAAATTCTGATTACGTTACCCCTTTTTCGCTTTTCACCGCCTTTTATTTTGGCGCATACATTTTTTAAGTGTGTTAACAACACATTTTGGCTATTAAGCTTGGCGTTTTCTCCGCATTAAAATTAAACACACACAAAATGTATGCAAAATGTAATGCAATTGTAAGTTGTGTGCGTGTTTTTCCATTTTCCACACAAGTTGAAGAAGCAGCAGCGGAACACGCAGAGAAAGATGCGAAATAAAATGTGCATTTCAAAATGCACTTAAAAATTGTTGTCGCGGCATGTGTGTATGTGTGTTTGCGTGTGTTCTGGGCGAGTGTGTGTGCGTGTGTGTCCCGCCAGGGGTCACAGGTCAACTTCGTCGCCTGCCAATTAAAACTTTTTATGCGCTGCGGCGGCCCCACACACAAAACGAACGGCACAAGAGCCTTTCCAGAGATGACAGTATCGAAAATATGCCATACTATTATTGGCATCGCAAAATGTTGATAATATATCAAGAGCCAGCTTTTTAAAGTTACTATTTTATTGTATTTAATAGAGTTGGAAAAATTAAATCGATATATTTAGCCATTATCTATTGAAAGTGAAAGGTATATTAAATATAAATATTTATTTTAAAACCAAGGATTGTCACATTTAAACTGTATAGAGTTCAGATATGACAAGTTCATTTCAGACCCAATTTTAAAGTTTACTTTACTTTTTTGTATTTTATTAAATTATAATACTAAGAATTAACCAATACAAAAACGGTTTTGAAGAGTTTTAAATATTTCTAAAGATTATGCAAAATTTTCAAATTCATTTTAATATTTTCTCTACTATATAATGTATTTAGGTGGGCAAACTGTTGATAATACAAATCCTTTTTTTTAAGATTTGATATTTGTATTTTATCACATTTCATATTTTTTAAATTGAGAAATAATGGCGATAATTTTAAGTTTTTAATAATTTTATTTCAATTTTTCGTGTCACACACTCATCGCCAGTAACCACACACACACGCAGGCAAGCGCATTTTCAAGTAACTTTATTAATGCGATTTCAGTTAATTAACAACACAACAATTACGCGGCCAAAGGGTGGCGAAGGGGGCGAGGACTGGCCAAAAAGACGAACTTTTAAATCAACAAAAATATATATAAAGGAAATGGCTGGCGAAAAGTGCACTTGCCGTCGATTTCGAGTAATGCGGCTTTTGAATGCACAGATGAAAAAAACATCTCAACATTAATTTCATATACGGATATTGTAAACATCATTTTGCAAAGAATAATTTCAAAATGATTGGAATTTCAAATGGAAAAGGAAAGAATTTCTAATAATGATATGTGGTTGAAATTGATATATTTCTTTAAACGAAATGCAACACTATCAAATTTGATCATTATTCCAAGGTATTTATGTTTTGTGAGCCTATTTCCATCATTATTTTGTACTCGGCAAAACAACAAAAGTAAATCAAAAGTTAAAATGAAATGCAACACTATCAAATTTGATCATTATTCCAAGCTATTTATGTTTTGTGAGCCTATTTCCATCACTATTTTGTACTCGGCAAAACAACAAAAGTAAATCAAAAGTAACTCGAGCATTTCACTCAATTGCCCACGCCCACGCATGTGTCGTATTGTTTTGAGTTGGATATTTTGTCGTTTGCGCAACAAGTTGGCAAAATCCAACTGACGACGAGAATCTCGGCGACTGTGTGGGTGTATCCATGTAATAGTGTTTGAGTTGCGCTTTCACCACTTTCACTCCTCTGTTTGCCTGCCACATACACACGCACACACACACACACACAGGACACACGCAAATCGGAAATCCAGGCAAAAGTTTTCTTTGCCTATCAAATGGCAAAAAAGTGTTGCCTACCTTTGGGAGCTGAAATATCAGACGGCTGGAAAAGCGGAGGGAAAACGTATGAAAAGTACAGACTTAGAGAGAGCGGGAAATGGGCAACATTTTGAATGGATGCCAAGGAAATTAGAAAAATAAAAAGTTGATTAAATAAAGCCGGGAAATGTCACTTTAATGCCAGCGACGATAGCGTTTTAAATATCTGTTCATTTTTTTTAAAAGAATTTCAATTTAATAATATAGTATTTGTTGGGAATTCAAAGAAAAACTAAAATATTAAAGCCAAAGGCATTTAGCCGACGGCATTAAGTATTTGATTATAAATGCAATAAAAAGAGGGAACGATAACATTGTACTGTTAAAAATACATTTTGGCAATGAAAGCTATTTGCAAACAAAAATAAAAAAAAAACAGAAAATGATTTAAAAAAGTAAAAATTCGGCTAACAAAAGTGCAAAACAATTTAATGCATAGGCGCAATTGAGAAGCTTGAAAACTAATTATACATGAACTTTAAAATTCAAATAAATAATACTCAAGAACAAATAACAATTGGAGATACAAAAACAAATATTGATATTTTGAAAAGTAAGCAAAATAAATAAAAAAAACTACATTCAAATGACCCTCATAATTTAAACTAAAATATACTAATTCATAACTTCCACGTGATTGGAACTGCCCTTTTCCGAGCCATTAATTGTAATTGAAAGCTATACATATGCTCCAGATACCCATCTTCTTCCTATTTATTCCGCCATTTTGCGTCAACGCAATTTGACTCTTCATTACAAATTCCTCAAACCCCCGATGACAAAAAAAAAATATAAAACTTAATTATGCCTAATTGAGTTAAATGATTAACGGAGCATTTCACTCCCCATTTCCATGTGACCTGTGATCCATTCAATTTCCACATGGTCAGTCGATTGGTCAGTCGGACATGGCTTAACACTCAAATTGATTTGAAATGTGCTTAAAAAATTATGCTACACACGGACGGGGCAACAGCAACAACGACAATGAAAACAAAAACCCAAAGGTGTGTGGGTGCATTGAAAAATGGGAAATAGAAAATGTATGCACAGCAAACTAAAAAATAATCAAATATTAATTTTAAAAGTCCATACTTTTAGCTATAACTATTTTCAAAAGCAAAAAAAAAAATATAATTTAAATGGATGATTTATGAATATATTATTATTCTCAATTTTAATAAATTTAAACATGGTCTTGGCCTAGTGGATAGTACGAACAAAAGTCACAGCTTTCCAATTCCCAAAATGTTCTAACATTTGACTTAGATAGGCAGTGTAACAGTTGCAAACTTCAAAGAAATGCCCGCAAATTGTTGAGCATATAATATTCGATTGTTTCTTTCTGTGTGGTCAATATGCAAACGAAACTCATTTGCAAAAAAAAAACAAATCACAAGCGGGCGACCAGCTCCACCTATTTGACCCCATCCGAAACCCCCCGGAACCCACCCACATTATTTGCAAACCCCCTTTTTTAGAGCCCCACGGGGGTTTGGTGTTGACAAGCTCGTTGGCAAATCACACAAAGTATGCAACAAAAACAAACGAAAGCACCGCCGACAACAACAAAAAATCATGGAAAACAACAGGGAAATTGCATATTGCAAATGCTAACCAATTTTGTATACTCTTTTCGATTAAGGAAGTGGTAATATTAGATTACTAAATAAATCAATTATAAAATTTAATATACGATTTCCTTAAAGATTATTATAATGGGAATTTAATAAAAGGCTTCAGTTACATATAAATGTGAGATCTTTGTATTATGAAACGCGAGTTCTATAGCATTATTTCCACAAGGTCAATTTAATCTTGCCTTAAGTCTTATTAACTGATGCACTGGATTGTGCTTTGGAATATAAAAGTCAACTTATGAAAATTATATGTAATTCTTAGCTGGACAATCCCCTTAAAAAAGCGAGCGTGGCCGAAAAGAACCGAAGAGAAAGGGCATTATCCTAATCCGGACTAGCAGCTGTCAAATTTATTTGCGCACGAAAATCCATCTGCTTGGACCACGGACCGCAACTGCAACCACGTACCCCTCCGCAACTGCCACCCCTTCGGAAAAACACCCGCGGCCGCCTGTGGAAAATGAAAATCAGTGGGTTGGAGGAATAGAAGCGCAACAAGTTCCTGCAGTAGTCATTTCAATCCAATTCCTTTTATTGTTGTTGCAGTTTGTTCTTCGGCATTTGCAACTTTGTGTTGCCAATCAACACCTACCCCCCTGGCACGCCGCCCATGGCCATGCTATTTTGACAGTGATATAAGCCAGGACTTTTCGATATTGGCATTCGCCGTGAATGTGAGCGGGGACTTCAGGACTCAGGAAGCAGATGGGAATGCAGATGGAGACGTTGGATGGAGATGGACATGGACTGTCGATACGGACACGAACACTTTCGGCTAATCGAATTTAAATTTCTGTCAAATGAAGCGCATCAGACGAATCGCAATTGCATATTGAAGAAAGGGAGAACTAGGCACCCAACACTGGAAGAAAACATCTCAGATTAAATCGTATGTCATTTAATTCCTTGATTATTTGATCAGCATTAAAATAGGAATATTAGACCGAAAACCTTGGAAAAACTTCTCTTCTCAGATATATAAAATCCAAAATTTATTCTCAGTGAAAAATGGGCGTGGCTCCCACACGTGTGACCCTGTTTGCATATGGCTGATTATTCAGTCAAACATCCTCCTTGTGTGACTAATGCGACATTGAGTGAGCGAATCAGCGGAATGTGAATGGGTTTATATGGTTTTCTGGAGATCCATGAGTTGATGGACTTTGGTTTGTGCATCGTAAGTGATGGGCGTGGCCCCGTGGGCGTAATTGCCGAAAACTGAGGTGTCAATAGCATATTGCAATACACACATATATGTATACATATATCAATTGCGAAGCCGTTGGCTGTCATTACTGAATGTCGAGCAATGTTAATCTGACACTTTATCGATTAACGAAATTACAACACAACTTGCTCAAGGGTTTATGGGGGGCGAAAGGGGCGTGGCAGCCATTACATGGTATGTAACTAACTCATCGCTTAAGTTGTCACAAGCTCCTCCACATGAGGATTTCGTCGATAATCGCTCAATTAGTTGCGGATTATTGTAAGCTTTGTCGAAAAATCAGCTTCTTTTTTATACGTACAATTCCATTATTTATCGTAATTTCATTTAATTAAAATTATTTTCAATGCCTGCCAGCTTGCACAGTTTAATTAAGTTCTTCGCATTAAAACTCACAAAGTTTTACTTTGCAATGTAAAAATATGAAGGTGAAAACAGAGTTTATGAGCAGAAAATAAAAGGCTACTATGCTTTCAGTTTTGGTTAATTTTCTTTCGCATAATCATGAATGATTTAAAATACGATTCAGAAATTGCACTTAAACTTCAACTGTCATAAAATGAAATTAAGCCAATTCATATTTAATTCCATATAGTTTACCCACCTACTTACTTTATTCATCCTTTTCCCCAAACCAATTCAGATTCAGCTCCTTTGTTCTGATACTTATCGTGAACTTGTGATTCTTTTCGATTAACTCTCTCTCCAGCTTTTCACCCAATAAGTAATTTCAATGCCGAGTGGGTGGAGCTGTTTGCGGTTCTGCTGAGGCGCCTGCTGCATTGCGACAAGTTGGAGCTTCTATCAACTGGTGTCCAATTTGTTATGGACAGGTAAAAATGGCAATGCGCGACGCCATAAATCAGGCGTGCCAGTAGGATGGGGTTAAGAATGGGAAGGGGGATTCCCAAAGGACACGTCCTGGTCAGGGACAGGCTCACTTGGCAGACTGCTTGGCCAGAAGCAAATAGCAACAGCGAAGCAGCAGCATTGTTGCGGATTGTGGCATTGTCTTGCGGCATGCAGCTGGTACAGTGGTGCCAAAACCTGTCAATAACTCCACAAAATTTATTCAAAAATATATCCTCTTTATCAATTCGATATTGGTGGTTTTTTTTAGTGAGTAAATAAAATAGTTTTTTTTTTTAGTTTTTAGACTTGACACTTCACAAACTATAGTGATCACTGTGATGGCATCTCTTTGCGCAAATACACTTTTTAATATTCTCTTTCCGTTTTCACCCGAAAATTCATTAAACAGTGGTTTAAGTTTGGATTGTTCTAGACGTTTGGTCTTATCTTAAACCAAAATCAGTCATATAGGTGTTCCCAATCTTAAAAAGACTTAAAGGAAATGGAGGAATGTTTCTTTAAATTTTCACTTTTACAATACCTTGCTTAAGAATTCGCGTTTACTTTGGCCTTTCCAAGATTCAATGTTCGGACAAATAGCCATGTGAAGCTGAAGAATTAGCCACTCGATATTAGATGGTGAAATGAGTGCGATTGTCGGGCCATTTGGTAACAAGGTTCGCTCTCTGTTGGCGATTGTCATTGTAACCGTTTGTCAATTATGTTTCGCATGCAGTTGAAAACGTTGCATTTCCGACGCCGCCGTTGCCACTGGCCAATGTCGAGTGGCGACGTGGCCGAGAACAAAAGACGTGCAAAACAAAAGACATGGATGGGGGGAGAGGGGTGTAATGGGTTGGATCCCCCCCCATTTTTTGGAGGGGGTCAGGTGGACATGGAAGGCTTTGGCCGGGTCTGGTTTTCGGTCTGAGCCCTGGCATCCGGAAGTTTGCGCTGACATTCATTACCATAATTCACAACAGCTTAAAACATTTATGTGGCTGCCGCCCCGAGCTCTCACAGACAGCCCCCTCCCCCCACTTCTTCCCCTCACCACCCCACCAACACACACACACACAATACCCCTCCTCTAGGTGCGCCCCTGCTGCAGTCTGTTGTTTGCGTTTGGATTTTGTGCAGGAGCATGCAAAAAGGGATAATAAGGAAAACTTGAAAATTTGTTGCAATTATTTTAACTGCTTGGAAATTGCCGTCACCCCATCTGCATTCACCGCCTAGCACTCTACTTTACAACTTATTTTCGGGGCCTGTCCTAATATGGCCCACGTGCCAAGACCCCACACGTTCTACTCTACACACATAAAAACCATCTAAGTATTAATTTTATACCCCTCATCGAAGTCGTAATAGTTTAAATATCCATTAATATTTCCTCTCTTCTTTTTTACTTTAGTTGCTACATAGTATTCTTACCAGATCCTGAAAATAATCTTATTACTTTATATTATAAAATATAATATATATTTTAATACAGTAATACTAAAATAAAATTATTGTAAACATTGCTTTTACTATATAAACATATTAAATCGATATATACCTGGATTATATATAGTCCAAAGTAATATAAAATTATAAAATTATTTTGAATAATATGAATAATATCTATTTTTTTCGTTGTGTACTTGTGGTGCCCCATACGTGTGTTTTAGTAGCTAATGCATGGCTCCAAGGACGATGGAAAAAGTAGTAGTAGTTGCAGTGCTGGCCAAGCGAAAAATGAGGAAATAAACTTGGTTTTGATAAGGGCCAGTATTGCAGAGCAAGCTAAAAAGTGCGGCAAAGGAATGGGGAAAACTTTTCCTAATATGATTACAATTTTCGACAAACTATTTATGGCTGTTAATTAAATCATGTGGCTACACTGTTTGTAAGAAAGTGACTACTATAATTTGATGGAGTTCATGTTTTGGAATCAACTCTTCATAGGAATAGCTGTCTTTGCCGGCTTTGTTCAGTTTTTTTCTATTCATTCAGTTCCGGTGCCTTGCGCGCAGCATATTTTATAAAATTTTTTTCCATTTTTCCTCAAAGCTAACAAAAGAAGGTAAGTTTTTAGCTGCTTGAATCAATGAAAAGCGTGTAAAACAGATGGACTTCGCACATAGAATGGCCAATTTTTTAAAGACAGAGGATCAGGTGAAGATCAGTGAGATAGTCGAAAAATTGGTCAAGCAAAATTCCAAACGCTATACCAACGATGATGGCTACTTCGATATACCGTGCTGTTCGCGTGACATATTGATCAATTGCCCGGAATTGTCGGGCATTCAGGCCAATCCAGTTTTCGAGTCAATGGTTCCTCGAGCCGGATCCCTATACACCTACCGCGCCGGTCAACTCCTGACTATCGGTCGTCGTGTGGCCCACCGCATGGTGGATTCGAGTGGCCAGCGGGAGATGATGCACAACCGCCACCAACTGGACGAACGCCTCCGATCCGCTGGAATCTATCACAATCGCCTGGGCCAACCCTGCGGTATTGCTCCTCCGGAATTGGAGGAGGGTGGACGTGGTGACACCGATCCCGGCAAGAGCAACTCATCTATGGGATCCACTGCTTAAACGACCTATTACTAGTTTTAACCTTGTATCCGGAAAAAACACTGAAGAAATACTTTATTATACTTTGCGTTGAGAGGCAACATCTTCATTTAATATGATTAAAATCTTTGGACTCTAAAACTTCTGTTGGTTTGGATTTGGTTACGTTATAACAAATAAAATGCCATGTGTAATTATTCTTTCATTATTGTTCTTTTAATATTTGTATATCCAAATCAGCAAACTCGACAGCACAGTGTTTTCGGACACCAGAAGGATTTGCTAAAAAGTGATTCAAGTCGGCACTTCTAAGCCCATAACTTTTCTTACAAACATCCGATTTCAAAGTTTCATACCTCTAAATGATCGTAGTGAAATTGTTAAAAAATCTGTGTTCAAATCTTGGTTTGAATTTTTTGGTCGATTTTTTCGACATTTCTATGTGGTAACCCCTTTCTAAATTTTTGAAAAATGGCTTTGCTGAAAAGTGACAAAAATAGCAATCCTATAAAAATCTGCCGTCACACACTGACCCCCATTAACTTGAATTTAATCTCGAAATTAGGTGCCTCGTAAACGTGACTGGATACTGTTAATTATGGTTATGGAAATGCCGTGTGGATCTTGGCTAAATGGGAACTAAGCAAATGACAGATGTTGTCGCTGTCGCTCAACTGTCCCTCAAATCTCCATCTCCATTTCCATCAGCATTCCGGAAGCCCAGTTCCACCGGCGAGATCTCTTTTCCGTGTTTTTATGGCCACTGATTTATGAGCAGCTAATTTACTAAGCTAATTTGTTGAAATTTAAATACACTTGCAGCTGCCGGAGGCTGTGACAGCCAGCTTGACACTTTTCAGAGTGAGCTGTGGATGTGGATGTGGGGGTGGTGGACTGTTGGACTTTCGCCACTTTGGCCAGTCCCCTTTTTTGTTGACGTTACTTCGCACGCACCACACAATTCCATATGCAAATGCCGGGAATGGGGAAATGGGGGGACCACCTGCAGAGCTTATCTCCGGTCGGAGTCCACCAGCTACACACAAAAAATTCACCAAACATAGGTCCAAAAAAAATTAAAACCTCCCAACCCATAATTTCTACAATGAAAATAGTTCCCTTAAACATTTGTTGAAATGTAGGATTAAGAAACCATTGGTATGGTTGAACAATCAAGCATTTTTTTGTGTGTACGCTTGCCGAACAAAAGTGCAACCACATCGGACTCATTTGGAAAAGGTGGTTGGTGGGAGGCCAGAAGTGACAAGTCACGGCTACCACAAGCCAGAATTCACGTAGCCAGGACTCACGTTGAAGTTGTTCGGCCATTGTCCTGCGAAAAGTCGCTTATCACTAAGTCAGCACCCTAAGGAATTCCTTTTTACCCAGTCACAATTCTTGAAATCAACATATAAAAGGTTGTTATGAGTGGTTTATATAGTATGTGATGTTCCCAACTACCATAAATCACGTACAAGTTTTTAAGAATTCAAGGATATATAATCTATTTATATTACTTAGTATTCCTTTCGTTTTTTCCTAGCGTTTAAGTGTCCATTTTATGGGGGATTTCACGATGGGATCATGATTCAATTAAAAACTGCATTTATTAAAACCTGGCTAATTTATTCCCCCACTTTATTGGGTCTTTCTTTGACACCTGCAACGATACAGCTTTCACTCTGATCCCATTTCACTCTTGCATATGTAAAACTATATGCCTGATCAATTTAGAAGCACGCTCCCATGTCCATAAGCATAATGAAAATGTTTGCAAATCGCATAAGAACAGCAGTCGAGGGGTTAAGGGGTTGACATGCCCATGGGCGTCGCCTGCAATAGACGAATCTGGGATGCGAGGGGTTTCAGAGGGGCCAAGGGGAGTTACGGGACGAACAATTGTTACACGTATTCATTTCAAGCGTTTTATGCGTTGCCTGGCTTTGTTTTTACACAACGAAAAAATGTTTTCTGTTTTTACTGTTCAAATTGTAGTACATATATTTTTTCTACACAGACAGGACGCTTATAATTCTCAACTGATTATTCTGAATAAGCCATGTCCATAATTTGCAAGGGTTAATTTGACCAAAGGTTTTTTTGTGTGTTGGCTTCTGTTTTCACTGTGTGTCCTATCCACTGTCCACCATCATTGGACCTGACACAGTTTTTGTTGCCACAGAGGCTTGGGCTCAGCACCCTCCTTTCTCTGTTCTCCCTTCTCCTCCCTTGCCTTTTCCCTCTTTCACTGTCTTCACTGTACTGCTCAACTGGCTGGCGTGGCGTGCCTGTACGCTGACAGTAAATGCTGAAAATTGAGTGCAACTTGTCGTAACTTTATTTTCAAATATATGCGGAAAGGACTAACCAGACAATGCACAACACACTCACATCCTTGCACTCGTACTCCGCATAGCCGCACTCAATGAGAAATGTGTGGCGGCGCGCATTTAACATGCGAAATTCAGGCGACAAGGGTGACCGAACCGAACTTAACTTAAAAATGCCTTAAAAACACGACCTCATTTGCATTTTGTAGGAAAATTATTGACAAACTATCAAAAATTACGTGCCTAAGGAAATTAAAAGTTCGTTTTATAAATATTTGAAGATGGTACGGACACATATAAAAGTGTTGCTTACAAAGTGTTTCTGGGCTTAACTGCAGATTAATTGAGAGAAAACCACAAACTTATAAGGGTATACTACTTTCAAATGGCTATGATCAACATAATTAAAGGTTTTTGTTTGAAAGTGCTAATTCAAACATAAATCTTTAATTATGCCTTCATTGTGTACATCATTTTTGAAACCGTTTGTCGCCTGTGGCGCATTCATATGTGTGTGCCAAGTGTTTTGCAACAAAGTTTTTGCGTGCTTTTGTCTGCTGACTACCGACTGGCACCTCCTGATACTCCGTCCTGCCATCCTGAACCTCTCCGGGATCCCCTTCCTTTTCGCAGCGAGTCCTGGGCCACGGGCCATCACTTTGGCTCCGGTGTGCGAGTCCGGGTGTACGGATACGGCTATGGTTTCTGCCCGGCCTCCATTTCCATCTCCTTCTTCACACAGAAAGAAATATTTATGTGATATCATCATCAAATTGAGGACTTTAAAATTCATTTTAATTATACATGTCGAAAAGGTCAAAACGTTATGATTTTGATAATATAATTTCAAAATAACAAGATTAGTATTAATTGATCTTAGATCTTGATCTTCCATCCACGAAAAATAAGTGTAAACAAGTGTATGCAACGTATTTTTTTCCTGTGCAGTTTCCTTTAAGGTTCTCCGTTCTCGGTCTCGTCTGCATAAGCTATGTGGTTGTCTCCTTTCAGGCTCAGGACCTTCCTCTGTCTCGCTTTCTGCGGTAAATTTAACGAATATGCAGGTCCTGGACAACTCCTCTTGTTCATTTCGGGTCATAAGTTGGCTATGAAATTGTTTAACCCTTTAAAAAACCTACATTGTTTATATTAATATTTTTATTATCAGTCTAATGCACCTAAATAAATATGTATCTATGTAAATTAACAAATATATTTTGGTAAATTTGAAGCATTGGTATTTAATATAAGATAAACTTTTCCAAAATCATAAATATCCAATTCTGTTTTTGTAAGGTTTAAAAAAGTATTCTCTAAAATTCTCAAGTCATTTTTTTGGCACCACAAAAAATACAATACCTTGATGGAAAAGGGTTAAACTTAAGGCTTGTGGGCAGGAAAAGCAACTTTGACTTCTGTGCTTTAACTTGGCCACACTTTACCGACTGCCACGCCCCGAATACCCACTGTTACCCCGCCCCTTCCCCAGCTCCCGGCCACGCCCACACACTCGACAAATCAATTGGCAATCAATGGACGCTGTCCGATGGTTGTGGTAGTCAATAAATTGCAAGAATTTCTGCATCTTTTCTTTTTACCGTAACGCGTTAAGTGGCCATAAACGGAGCAAGAAGAAGACGAAAAAGAAGCAGTAGTACCAGATTTACCGTTACTTTTACCATTATGCACCTGAAGAAAATGGGCAATTTAAGTTTATTCGGGTTTCCTCCATTCTTTTGCTTTTATTTTGCTACAAAAATGTTCTAGTGCAATTAAAGCGCATCTATTACTCGTCCTTTTCATGCCCCAACAATACTTTTTACACCTGTGTGTTTGTGTCAAATCGAGCATTAAATGGTTTTCCTTACGCTTTTCTGGGCAGATTTCCTTACTTTGGCCCGGCTGCAAAGACTGATGATATTTTGCCCCACTCGCAAACAATGTTGGAAGTGTCGGAAGCAGTGCTCTAAAACCATCCCAAAGGCAGGAGGAAAAAATGCGCATCCAGTGAAGGTAGAAAGGACTTCTTTGAGTTTGCATTTCTTTGCCCGGGCAACCAATTTGAATATTATGCCAGCAAGGAACAAAAAAACCCCGTAAAAAGGAAGGGGGGAAAAGGCTGGAAGAAAATGATTTTAAACGAGATCGGATGCTCTAACAAAGGGTTTCTGGATTTTTTTTTAATTTCAATATTATTACAAACGTATTCTAATCGTTTCATTGTTGTACACAAAAATTAAATACTAGATAATTAGAATTATTTATAAGAACTTATTTATCAAAAGACAGTTACTAACGAAGTCCTGTCATGATAAAATATTATGTTGAAAGTGGTGTTCAGTTCAGTTCATAATTGTCAAGAGAATGTATTTACAATGTATTGATTTAATTTTTATATTTTCCTGCGGAGACCCCAAAGGTATGTCATCTTAAAAATACTCCTTGTACTATTTTTAAAGCTAAATTATCTTGAAAGTTGATTTTTCAAAGCGGCTTTGGGCCAAGAATGCAGACCACTTGTAGAGGAATTTGGGGCAACATTTTACCGAAATGTCTTGAAACATTTATATGGCCGATAATACCCTTTCACACACACTCGCACACACTCGCCCCTTCACCCACACAAACACACACGCATTGTGTGTGCGGACAGCCGACAGCTCAATTCTCAGCTGGAAAATGCAGAAGGGCAAAATGGGGGCCAAACAAACCACCTCCACATCTCTTTTGAAACCCAATGCGCCTTTGGCCTTTGATAGTTCAAAACTGAGTGGAGAAAAAATTGAGCCAAAAATTGTAATAGAAATTTTTGTGCTTACACACACATTGGCAAATATCGACAAGTGATGGAAGTTTTCCCTTCGGAAACCCTGCGGCCTACATCAAGTTTTCTACCGATTGCCCAATTTAAAATTGCCATTGTCGATAGCACAATTCCAGTAAATTGAAAAGGGATAATTCTTTATGCCTACTACCTGGAAATTAAGAGCATTCAATGATGCGCTTTTGTAGTTTGTTTTGTGATAAATGCGATGCAAATTAAAGTATGACATTACATTTGTTAACACGACTACTAATCATGCAGTTCACTAAGCGCACAAATGCACAAACATATTAGTCGGCACTGAAAATACAATGGTATATGATGTAAGTACACTTTGTAAAAATTAAAAGAAAAAAATTTCGGGGATTAACAAAAGTATTGTTATAAATATAGTTTTCCTCCTAATTCTGAAATTAAGGAAGAAACTCGAGAGGAAAAATATTTATTTTAATACTTATTGGTTAATTCTATTATTGAAAGATATTTTCTCTCTACAAAAATTACATTTATAGTTTGGCTAGTTGGATTTGAACACGGGCCCTCCTAGTAGCCTAGGTATATGTTTATGTATATGTATATGTTTACCTGGTGGACTTTTAAGTTCCGAATTGGAAACTGTTTAATGACAGTTTCGTATTCGCAACTGAAGGAAACCCAGAGTTACAAGGAAACACTTATCACCCACTCAAAGCTCAAAGACCGTGTGTTTTTATTTTAGCTGGCGGAGTACAGTGCTGTAGGGCAGAATGCCGCCACACAAAGGACATGTGTCCCGCAAATCTAATTAAAAAATTAATGTAATGCAAACAAAACAGCTGCGTTTGGGTGACAACTGTTGCAGCGAGTGTTGCCCCATCACTTTGGCTGCAAGAATAACAGACAGCGACATGGACACACTGGCGTGACACCGAAACACGTTTGCACTAATGGCAATACAATTAATTTGCATTAATAATTGAGTCAACGCTTCAAATTAAAATGTATTTCCATTTGAGGCGTATGGCCGACGGCCCTGAGTTATTTTGAATTTCTGTGTGCAAATATTTAACTCAATTATTAGCCCAGTGAGCACTGATATCTCCGATTTAATTGTTTACGCAGTGCACACATATTTACACACTGGCTGTTGTGCTGTTGAGCCATAAATTCGAAAATCAACTCGTTCTCACATCGTCGGCCAGGGTCATAAATACATATAAGTATTTTTTAAACTAATTACCAGAGCCAGAAAATGTTTGTGCAATGGCGCCGCCTGCAAGTCTGAACATGTCTGGCTTCCTTTGGCTTTTTTACTGCAAATTATTATTATTAAAGTTTACATTTGATTTGCTAGTGCATCCTGTTGCGGCCATATACCTCAAATTAATTTTAATTTGCCGTAAATCATTTGACGCATTCGCAGAGCCATGTAATTTATGCAGCATTTAATTGCAAAACTTTCACCGCAAACTAAGCGTAAGGTAAACAAATCATCGAATTTATATTTTCCATGTCCGTGATCAGGAATGTTTTCTGTTGCGTGTTGGCAATTAGTGCATAGCACTATCTATCTACATATGTGGACTTTAAAGGACAAATTTGATGGGTGAATTCTGAAATGTGATTTTTTGTTTGGGACACGACAAATATTTGATTTGCACCTAACGAATAGGAGTGTGAACATCTTAACATCTTAGACTGACTACAAATGTTCATGGCATTGTTCACACTGTATTAAATCATAAGTTCTTTCTCTAATAACTTTCAAAATGGTTCTTGGTATAACATTAGGACTTTAAAGATATCCTGAAACCCAAAAACCAATTAAAGTGGTCAAAGTCTATTCATAAATAGTGAACAATAGCCAGACATTGGCTTTGCTGGAAAATTGGGAGTGTATTTAGCCATTGTTTTAGTAAATCCGATCGAATCCTTTGTTCCCATTGGCCAACTCGATTAAATCTTTTCTTAAGAACACGAACTATGGAAGTAATATGCCAGCACATTGATTGTGGATTAAAATGTACGTATGAGCGTATATTTGGGATAAGTAGACCGGCATTCCTAATGAATAATTGAAGATGCCTGCCGCCGGAGGACCTTTTGAACATCGAAATGCCGAAATGCCAAGAAGATGGCAGTTATGGAAACCACACATTCGTCAAATCCGAATTCCGAATCGCAGCAAAAACGTAAGGATATGTGTTTGGCATTTGGCGAGTAGCTGTTCTGAAGGACTCCCCAGGCACAATGGTACTTACATTTGCCACTTGATTTGCGAGCATGTCTTTGATGTCGAATGCCGGTGCATTTTAAGGCAGGACTCGGAAAATCCTTTTGGCTTTTAATTGAATTAATTTCGCATCAGCCATTGGGGATTTAATATGAGCACCTGCAAAAAAATCGGGAGATTTCTGATGATAAATATCACTTATAAGTTATAAGTTGGGTGAAGTCCGAAAACCCATGCCCACAAAAGTATGCAATAAAATATGTAGTACATGAAATATATTATTTCAAAACCTTTTTTTTTTTTTTGTGAAATAACGAAATGGTGACAAAGATAGGTTCACTGTTACCTAACTGGGCAACTTAAACAAATCAGAAATAATAAACAGAAAAATTAGTTATGTCAGCAGCACATAATAAATATAAATTATAGAAAAATTATATAAATTGAGCCTAAGGATATGCGAGAAATTTGAGATAAAAACTTTAGATCTTTACATAATATTACTTGGTCATCCGTTTTTCTCCGTGTATCCCTGGGAACATTCCTATTCGTCAGCTCCAAGGGCTAAATATTTTAGCAAGCCCATGATGGCAGGTGTCTGCAATTACCTCAAATTCAATTAAGTAATTATGAGGTCAGCGCAGGCTGGCCCATGACAATTTAATGACCGCCCCCCGGTGGGCACTATAAAAGGTGAGAGTGCAGTGGATTCGGTGATTAAACCTCGGCCACATCGCCATGCTGTTCCGCAAACGAAAGCCCAAAGGTGACGACGAGGTGGTCACCTTCGACGAACTCACCCGCTTTCCGATGACCTTCTACAAGACCATCGGCGAGGATCTGTACTCGGACCGGGATCCCAATGTGATTAGGCGCTACTTGCTGCGGTTTTATCTGGTGCTCGGGTTCCTCAACTTCAATGCCTATGTGGTGGGCGAGATCGCGTACTTCATAGTGCACATCATGTCGACCACAACGCTCTTGGAGGCCACTGCGGTGGCACCTTGCATTGGCTTTAGTTTCATGGCCGACTTCAAGCAGTTTGGATTGACGGTGAATCGAAGGCGTTTGGTGAAACTACTGGATGACCTCAAGGAGATATACCCCGTGGACTTGGAGTCGCAGCGAAAATATCACGTATCCTACTACCGGAAACACATGAGCCGGGTAATGAACCTCTTCACCATCCTCTGCATGACCTACACGTCGTCGTTCAGCTTTTATCCGGCCATCAAGTCGACCATTAAGTACTACCTAATGGGTTCGGAGATTTTCGAACGAAACTACGGCTTTCACATACTATTTCCCTACGATGCCGAAACGGATCTGACGGTCTATTGGTTTTCCTACTGGGGATTGGCCCATTGTGCCTATGTGGCCGGCGTTTCCTACGTTTGCGTGGATCTCCTGCTGATCACGACCATTACCCAGCTGACCATGCACTTCAACTACATAGCCGATGACTTGGAGGCCTACGATGGCGGTGAGCACACGGATGAGGAGAATATCAAGTATCTGCACGACCTGGTCGTCTATCATTCCAGAGCTTTGGAGTAGGTTCGAGGGAATCCCTTGAGAAAAGGGATCTACAAGACTTTTAGACTCTTCAAAAAGTGATTCCAAATATCCAAAGATTTCCGTGGCCTAACAATCCTTTTTTGCAGCCTCAGCGAGGAGGTAAACAGCATATTTAGCTTCCTGATCCTCTGGAACTTCATTGCCGCCTCTTTGGTGATTTGCTTCGCTGGATTTCAGATCACTGCCTCCAATGTGGAGGATATTGTGCTGTACTTTATCTTTTTTTCGGCCTCGCTGGTTCAAGTCTTTGTGGTCTGCTATTACGGCGACGAAATGATTTCCTCGGTGAGTTTCCTTCAATATATTATTTCGATTTTGGTTATATATTTATATACATTTTAGAGCTCCCGCATTGGACACTCCGCCTTCAACCAGAACTGGTTGCCCTGCAGCACCACATATAAACGCATCCTGAAATTTATTATCATGCGCAGTCAGAAACCCGCCTCCATAAGACCGCCCACCTTTCCACCAATATCTTTCAACACCTTCATGAAGGTAATCAGCATGTCATATCAGTTTTTTGCCCTCCTTCGCACAACTTACTACGGTTAAAGTAACCCTCCTTTAAAGGTAGAAAATTAAAGAATACAAAAATGCAAACTATAGAAAATTGTACCTAAAACTGATAAGTAGGCATACTATATTAAATAATCTCTTCAGGTGTTTGATTGAATATTTATAGAGATTATTTTGACACACTTGATCATTTATAATTGGTCAATTAAGATAAATGGCTAAGAAAACGTTGAAATACAGAATGCATATGTAGTTCAAGCTTATTTCATTTGTTTTCTTAATTTCGTTTGTATTTGAGCAAATGAAGACGGCATTTAAAATGTATTTTATGATTATGAGCTGACGAAGTGGTTTAAATATAATACTTTTAAATCCGAGATTGTGGAAATCTCGAGCCCACATTTTCGCCCACATTTGCATATTAAAGAGCTGCATCGGAGCTTAATTTGCATGAGCATGTGGTACTGCACCTGACGCAGCTGTCATTTTGTTGCTGTAATTTTTAATTGCATATCAGCAATTTATAAATATTTACATCCCGGCTGAACCCGCACGCACACCACGGCCTATCTCTCTGGCCAAATAAATCAATAAATGTCGAAAGCAATCAAAGCCCATAAAATGTGTGATTGCCGCACCGTTCTGGCACTTTAAAGTGGAAAGTGTGATATTGATGACCATTTGATAGTAACCCAAAGCCGTTTATTTATACATATTTGATAGCCTGTGACAGGTCATGCCAATGAGGATATCAGTCGGGTTCTTGGATGGATATACACCTTCAAGGGTTATCAAATCACCACAGATTATGATTTGGTCCTAAAATTAAAATTAAGTTAATTTAATACCCTAATTAAAATAATTTGTTTACAAGTCGCATTTTCATCCGAAAACCGCCATTTAACTTTATTATGCCTATATTTTGCAATGGCTTTTTCTGCAATGGCATTGTTTTCATTTTGGTTGGCCACCGTTTGTTTGTTTATTGTTTGTAATGAGCTCTGGCGAATGGAGCTGCCCGGGAGCTCTGTATTGATTGGAAGAATCGGATGCCTCCCTATTTACTCATTTTGGCCGGAACGAAACTGAACAGAAGCGACAACAACACACCGATTTCATGTCCTTGACAGCTCCACGTGCTTATAAAAACAGATACGTGTTCATATGTTTGCACGAATGGCACAAATACATATAGCAGTTGGAGTTTTTCTTTGTCATCACCATCTTGTTGGTTTTCAATTAAGCAGCAAATATGCAGAAAGAAAAATATTTTTCGAAGGCATTTCAATTGCAGATCACCTGGGGGCGCCAATTGTTGAATGCGTTGAAATTGATGAATTTATGTAAGTCACCAAATTACTTTAAAAGTGCAATAAATTCTTTTTCTTTTTGTGGGGAAATGCTAGTGAGTTATAAGATGAACCGAAATATGGTCCTGACATTCAATTAAGTATGTTTCGGTCATCCTGCCATTTTATTTTAAACTTGGCACCTGAATCCCGTATTTCCCAGCCACTTTTAGGATTGTCAGCTAGTTAATGCTGTTTTTGTGGCCTGTTGTGGGTTGTTCGGTGGCTGCAACTTTGCTGCATGACAGCCACAAAAGACTCACATCCCCCATCCGAACACATGGCGAACTTCTCCCAAATGTGCCACTAATTTGTGGGCATGTGGAAATGTTTCCTTTGCCTTGGCTTTTTATGGGCGTCTTCCTTCCAAAGGAGAGGATAAAAAGGGATATATGGAAAGCCGTGTTAGCTGTAGGTAAGCACGTGCCTGTTGCCAGTTATTAACAATCCGGTTGTCCTGCCACAATGTTGCCTCACAGAAATGCGGTACAGTTGCGTTTGCCTTTTTTTTTTAGCTTCTTGCTGTCAAGAACTGACCTGCACATGCTTGTCGGACCGGAATACAACCCTGCACATGCTCACCTGATCTAAACTAATTGACAGTTATGTGGAAGTTGTTATGGCAAATTCAACCAAAATGCAACAAAAAATCTCAAAGTATTTGCAACTTAAGCATGACTGAACTTTAATAGCATTTTCACGCTCAACATCAAAATAATGAAGCTATTATTAGTATCTCAGTGAATGACGGCAATTAAAATCTAAGCTCCAATTAGAATTTATTGAGCCATAATTAAACTGAAGTGATACCAATTGTTTTCATCAGCTTAATACCTAAAATAAACTTATTTTACCTCGATTTTCACATTCTCCCCATTTGGGACAATTTGATATAGTGACTCTCCCTTTTCCCCACCCATTTTTCAACCGCAGCCAACATACTCGCACACATACAAACCGGTATTACATTTTGCGCATTTGAACAGCCGAAAATGCCGTGGAAAGTGGGTGAAAGTAATATGCATAATGTAAGTAGTTACACAGGTAAGTAGGTAACTATATGTGGGCGGCGGTGGGACTGTTGCTGCTGGTGGTTCGGTTGTATAAGTACCTTTAATAACTTTACTTACACGATGCTCGTTTATTGAAATTCCCCACCCGAGGGTGGCACGCGCCGTCGTCGTTCTTGACTTGACTTTGCCTCGCCTCATCTTGAATGGATTTTGTTTAGTGCGGTTCGATCCAGAGATGATTGCGTGATTACACAGTGAATGCTGAAATGTATAATGAAAGTTATTCGTATTGTGATAATACAGTCACTAATTTATATAATACTTCTCTATATTCCCTTAGATAAGTCGTATTGTTTGAAATGGTCCTACGTTGGGCGCCAATTAAACAGTAGCTTGCACTTTTCCACAGTTTTATTTCATAAGCGTGTCACGTTGCCATCTTTGGCAAGGCGACGTGCCTCGTGTCCGCGCTCGGTGAGTGCCTGTTGGGTATTTGCACATTTTAACGGATTTAATATGAAAATTAACAGCAGCACACACATGCAATCGCACCACCATCCTCACTCACGCATTACTTAATTGTGCATGGGTGTGGGAGTTTGAGTAATTTGCGCTCATAATAATGAATCCTTTTGCCTGTTGACGCAAGTCGCAGGCGAAATAAGGATACAAGGCCAGATGGGGGAAGAAACAGGCAGTAACAGCTGCAGCTTAGTTGAAAAAGTTCTTAAAATAGCAATAGCAAGCTAACCTCGCCCCACACCCTAATACACATGTGCCACCCCTTCTTTATCTGCACACACAAGTTAAACAATTATTCAAGACGTGACTTTTTGGCATTTAAATATTTATGCGCACACGTTTTAGCAACATTCGCCAAACAACAAGAAGCAGAAGTAGCAGTAATGGCAACACAGCACAAGAATGTCAAGTATAACTTTAGCTTCCCCAGCTTCTTCACACTCCTTTTGTGGCTTACTCAAATTATAAATTTCGCCTTAGCTGTCTAATTTGAAGGTGGGAAGAGGCATAAAGGTTCGCTTTTTATAGCCGATATCGGAAAGAAGTGGAATGCTGTATAAATGTTCAATATCATCACACACACAGTTAATGATTTCCTCTATACCTTCAGGTTAATGAAAAGTCTTCATTTCCTACCATTCTTCACTAAGAAAACTTCTATTGAGATTAGAACTTGGATCTCATGACGGGCCTAGCTTATCTGTCTCTCTCACTCTTTCTTCTCTGTCTCACTTCCACACTTCCCCTTGCTTTCCGCATGTTGAACTATGTAAATTGCTGCACTTCATTTGCCTGTCAACTGCTGCAATTTGCATCTCCCCCGCTCCTCGAGTTCCTACTGAAGATTTGCCATTTGCAGTTTTTGGTTCCCATGCAGTCAAGTACAACGAACGTCGCCGTCGTCGCCTCAGCAACATAATTTAAGCATTTTCCGAAACGAAAACAAAGATTTTTATCAAGTCTTCCGGAAAAGGGTGGTGGGTGAATAGTGGGTGTGTGGCCGCACGCAGTCACAGATTTATGCGTTCAGTTAGCTAAAATCAAGGGAAAACAATAGGAGGAAACAGTGGCGGCAGACAGAGAAAAAAGCAAAGGTCTTAAGAAAAATACACTGGCTCTGTGCAGGAATTTAGTAGCTAAACTGTGACAGATCCATCTTATGTGGTTTCCCGGGTTGTTAAACTGACTTTACAAATATTTTTGGACGGGTAAGGGGAGTTACAAGTTTAAAGTATCTAACAAATTTCCTAGAAAATCGGTTACAAAAATCTAAGATAATTTGCATTAGGTAACATTAAAACCTTTAAAAAATATTGTAATACTTCAAACTCACTGTTTTTTTTTATTACACTATTTCCGAATATTTAAGAGCCCAACTTTGATTTCATTTAACCAAAATATAATTGTGTATAATGATTGAGTCCTCCTCGAATATTTGAAGCCCTGTAATTCAGCGAATTAGGGTTATTTGAAAAGCTCTTATCTGAATGAATGGTATGTACATACATATTTTATTTGCCCAGTGGTCATCAAGGGGTTAATCATCAGCACAGATCCGCTGGGATTTTGGCGTTGCTCTGTTGGTCCTCTGTTTATATTTTTCTGCGTTTTGGGCCAACAACAGCAGTTCATTGCACTGGGGAATGTGGAAGTGGCAGTGGAAGTGGAAGTGGGACAGGACTGTTTACCTGGACACAAAGCCCCCGATGCGGTCACTTTTTGTGGGCGGCGGTGGAAGGCATTCACGCGAAACGCGCGTTAAATGCTTTCTGGTTTCCCGCTTTTCCCGCCTCCCCTCACTTTTCCCGAACCCCCCCCCTCCATGCTGGCCAATTAATGTGAAAGTAAAAGCGAGACACGCTTATACATGCAAATCCCGATGGCCGCTAATGGCGTCCAATGTGCTGGGCATCTTGGCCCATATAAGCGCAAAAAACTGACACGACATGTCCTTTTTACTTGTCGAACATGAGCAAAATATGCATAACGCAAACAACAACAACCATCAAACAGCAACACTACCAACGAAACCAACAACAACAGGTGGCAAAATACAAAACGCACAGTGTCCTGAAGTATTGCCAAAAATGGGGATTAGAGTTTAGAGTTATTAATCAATTTTCAGGCATGCTTCGGATTTCACTTACTATTG